ATAGCTGTAAATTTCTAAAAATTAAGATACTATCAATTATAAAACAAGTAAGGGATTTCTTAATTTCTGTATAGGGAAACTTCCATTGTTGATAAAAAAATAAACAAATACTTACCTCTTCTAAATCAGAAATGTTTAAAGGAGCATGTTGTTTTCATGAACACAAAAGATTAACCATTTTTCAAGGTTATTATGAAAAGAAAAATTTTTTATTTGAAGTTTCTTTTTTATGATTTATAACTATTCTAAAATGTATAGTTTGAAACATTTTCTTGATTTGAACTTTAAAACAAATGTAGTAGATTTTATGTTTTCAAAGAACCTGGCATTTCAGGTAAATAATTTCAGCCTCTTCAACAAATTACTTGTAATATCATCCATTTTAGCTTGTGTTTATATTTAATCATGTTTGGAAATTTCTTCCTGAAGTCACTTAACTTGTATATAAAGAAAATTGAGAAAATTGGTTTAGGTCATTTTAGATGTTTGTATAGCTTATTTGAACTCTGTACTGTTTGAGACAGAGTAGTTTGATTACCCGATCTTCAGACAAAGAGAAAGAAAAAAAGTAGTCACATCATTTTTTGAAAAAGTCCCTGGAAAAAAATCTGAGGAGCATATAAAGCCACAGTAACTATGTGACACTTTTATGTTATAAATTCATTCAGTTTGACAGCATGAGTATATTATGTCCCATGGCAATCTCTACTGACATCACCACAGAGAAAGGCAGATTTTAAAGGACAGAACCATTACATATATTCTCCCAAAATACTGGGAAAATTTGAGTTGAAGGTGTGATCTTGTCTTGAACACCGTTTATTAGGAGAATAATAAATCAGCACATTTGAGCACAGAAGTAAATGTCAGGGGACCGCAGAAAACTCCTTTCCATGTTCATCCTGAACATGAGGCTGCACAGTTATCTGGCAAAAGGACCTAGTGCCCCTCTGCCCCTCCTTGGAAACACCACAGTTAAACAGAGCCTGACTGGAGTTTTAAAGATCCAGAGATCTTCAGGGGCAGACAGCAACCAAGGCTTCACTTATCCCTCCCAAAAGGGAAGCCTATTGCACGTAAAGTGAGACAATTAATGCCTCTGGAACCTGAGGAGGGGTTTGTGTACCAAGCTTGTTACAGCTGCCTAAATATTAGGGAGAGGGAGAGGGAAAGAGGGTGAGGAAAGGGGAAGAGAGGGAGAGGAAAGGAAATACATTTAAGAAATGTATGAATGCTATGAAACAGACAAATGAAGGGAGGTAATATATGTATATATGAATCTCATAATGTGATGTGATTTTTTACATCTTTTAAAAAGAAATACTTGATCTGTGTATTTGAATCTGTGACATTTTCACATTTAAAGGTTATGGGGTTTGCCATTAACTTCAGAATATTTCTCTGATACATCATGGACTTCGGAAGTTATTGAGGAATTTCTGTAATTAAAACTACAATATGAGCATAAATTAAGTTCTTGCAAAGTATGCATGATCTCCTGAAAACACTCACGTGCCACTGGCTTTTTCCTTGAAGACCTGAGCAGTACCAGCTCCCTGTTTTCCCCAGGATAAATAAGGAGCCTCCCTTCTGCCCTCAGCCAGTTTCCTCTTGCTACACACCCCCCCCTCCAGGTGCTGCTTCTAAACCTCTCAGAAATTGGAAGGGCATGTGGAATTGCTGGGGTCAGAAATTATATGCTTCTTTCTGATATGAATTATTTTCGGTTTTACAGTAATATATATATATATTTAGTTATTCTAAATCAATATATAATGCAAAGTCCTAGACGTACCCTTTTTGAGTTACAAGACCACTTAGTTAAATTATGCTTCAAACTGTATAAAGGGATTTGGGTCCACCCTCTCCGTTAAACCGCTATAATAAGCACTGGTTCTGGAGCTGGACCACAGTCATCGCTTAGGTCCAGAAGAGCATGTGCTGGAGGGTACCAGCTGGGAGAACTGGGAACTAGGCTGTGTGTTTTTTTCCCATGGAGACAGAGTAGATAGTTATCTGTTTTGTGATTATTTTTTTTTGTTTGTGGTGAATTTCAGTATTTGTAAGAATCGGCTCCATACAAAACATTCTCTGCATCGGAGAACGGGCAGCCTGCGCGCCCAGCTCCTCCGCACACCGTGCCCTCCTCGCCCCGCTGCCTCGTGCATCTCCAGCTGCAATCCTGCTGGGGAAAGACTTCACTGGGGGAGCAGGGGGTGTTCTCCAGCAACGAAGTTTCTTGATGCTTCCCGAAAGCATTCATGGGCGCTTACTTCCTGCCGGAGCTCTGCAGTCTCTGTGAACGGAAAGTAGCCAAAAAA